TTGTAATGGGGAATACGCTACCAAAAATATCAAATTTATATAAATCCCTCCATTGTTTAAAAGAAATTTCCCAAATTTTCTACATTTAGAACATCGTCCACGATTTTTGGGTGCGGACTTGATGAAATCTGTCATTCGGTCTGACAATTTCGAGGCCTTAACCCTGTGTTAGGTCTCATCTTGTGTGCAGTGGTGCTGCTTCTGTAGCCCATAATCGGTATGTTCTTCAGCCGAAGGCGACCAACCGTTCACCGTTGCGCACCTGTCGGGTGAAGAATTCCGGTTCCATGAAAAGGAAGGGGGACTGAACACATGCATTTTTGCCAACCTTTCCCTGTTCCAATCTGTTATAATTCCAAGGGCTGCAGTTTTTTCTTCTGCTGAACTCCATTTACTGCAAACACTAGTATTAATACCCCTTTTGAGGAGTATTTTTTTTTCACTACTAGCTCGATCCCATTGTGCATTAATTCTGACTGGTAGTAAAAACAGTTATTAGAAGGTTTTCCTAGATTTGAATAAGACATTTGACCCAGGCATGAAAAACTTGGTGGCCTCGGTGGGAATCAAACCCATGTTAACAAGTGTAAGGCTTTAGTAAAGTCAAAGCTCTAGAAATTCAGTTGCCTAGAGCATTGGGTGTACTTAAGCTTTCCGTTTGCTGGCACGCGTTCGATTCCCGAGGCCACCGAGCTTTTTGCAATTGGATCAGATGAATAAAGCTAATTATCTTCTTTATTAATGATCCGATGTAAAAGGGGAATTTATTAAATTGATAAGCCGATCGCAGTTCTGGTGCAGTAGAAATGCGAATTTACCTCCAGTACGAATCAGCAGTGATGTAACTCAGGTTTCTGCTAGTACTGCGCTACTAATATTTTAAATGTATGTCGATGACACTATTTTTATTAATATACTAGTCGACAAGGGAGATATGTCTGCAAACGACATCTAGGTATGGCTACAGATCATATGCACTTGTGATGGAAAGATCATACGGGAAGGGCTTTACCGTCCATGAGGAGTTCAAACGTACAC